AGTTTGTTCAGCGAGCTTGCCATGTGCATTGGCGGACTTGAGACGCAAAACAGAGTTGACCACAAGAATGGAGTTTAAGTCTGGCAAAGAATGGTTCCATACATTGGGTAAGACAAAAACAAAAGCCAAAAGATAAAATAAACAAGTAAATAAGGGTGAGAATGTGGCAAAAACTGAAAATGTGGTAAAAATCAGGCGAAGGCTTTTCATTTTCTGGATTGCTTTTAAAAACTGTCGGTTGGGTTTAGGGAAGTGGGTGGGCGTTGGTCAATCTGTGATTTTGAAAACACTATTGGTTGGGCCTCTGGAGGATTTACGCGAGAAAAACAGGCGAAAATGGAACTCGTGAGAGAAATTTGAGATCTCAAAAAGCATACACAGCGGCCTCTGGTGGATTTACATGAGAAGAGCAGGTGTAAATGGCACTCGCGAGAGAAATTTGAGATCTCAAAAAGCATACACAGCAGCTTCTGGTGGATTTGCGAAAACCAAAACTGCAAAAAAAAAAAAAAAAAAAAACTCCTGGGATGTATTTGGCACTCTCCAGAAATGTATATCACAGTACGTTTTCAGAATGAGCCTGGGTTTTTATATCATTCCTCAGTCACTCATTAATGAGAATATGGTTTTAATTGAACAATATTTAGTTGTGCAAAATTAGAATGCAAAATTAGTATGCATTAATTTTTTTTGAATGAATTATGAAGGTTAAAATGTCAATCACATGTGAAGTCTTTTTGCCAAATGTTCCTATAAATATACTTTTAGATTATCTATCCACAACTGTAAATGTTGTACATTAAAACACGGTTTGGTAAAATATAATGTTATTATCTTGAATTATTTTGAATTCTAAAATAGGCGGCATAGTGGCTCAGTGGTTAGCACTGTCGCCTCACAGCAAGAAAGTCGCTAGTTTGAGTCCCAACTGGGTCAGTTGGCATTTCTGTGTGGAGTTTGCATGTTATCCCCGTGTTGGTGTGGGATTCCTCCGGGTAATACGAGTAATACGTACATAGCAGAGCTTGCAAAACTGTGTTTTTTTGTCGACAACACGAACGTTGTCAACATAACTCACTGGAAATCCAAAATGCTTACACACCGGCGACTTCATTGAAAGAGGAGAGGGTTTAAGTTCTGTCGACGGGTCTCCTGTATCTGCAGTTTAACAAGCACTTCAACAAGCCTGTTTTTTTCCCGCTTGGCAAGCCAAGCTGACGTGACATGGGGGTGTGGCAGCATCGACGATTCTATTTTTTGATTCGATAATCGAAATAATTAATAATTCGAAATTGAGCATAAATTTCGATCGATTTCAATTAAAAATCTAAATCGTAACACCCCTACTGAATTCACACCTGCCCAAACGAACCGCACCAAGAGGGAAAACGAGCTCTAGAGCGATTTAACTGAACTAAATAAGGCAGGTGTGAAAGCATGCTTAGTAGACAGCAAGGACACTCATTAGGACTTAACATTAAAGTAAACGTTGGTCACATTTTTTTGCTGAATAATCTTTGAGAGAAGATAAAAAAGAACCAAACTGCACTAATACATAAAAATGGACAGATCATGCCCTTTTTTACAAGATGTAAAATAAGTCTCTGATGTCCCTAGAGTGTGTGTGTGAAGTTTCAGCTCAAAAATACCTCACAAATAATGTTTTACAACACTTAAATCTGCCCCTTTTAGCCTTTGATCCTATTTGGTGACATATTGGTGGCTGTCGCTTTAAATTCAAATGAGATTGGGCTCTTTTCAGAAAAGGGCGGAGCTACAAATGCCTACGTGTCAGCATAGTGGCAGATTAAAAAACAAGACTTACTTAATATGCCAATGAGGGAGAGATCATCACTAATGGGCGGGGCTTTCTCCCTCTGATGACACGTACAAAGGGAGAATCTCAAAGTGTTTTTGCAGACTGTTTTTATCAAGTGTGATTATAAAAAACAGAATTAATTTATTCTTACCATTAGAAGCTGGTCATATTCACAGACTGCTGCCACACAACTGTGTTTAAACCACTTATGCAAGTAATTTTTGCATAATAGGTTCCTTTTAAAGCTTTGGCATGCTGGGAGTAACATGGGATGGTACAGTAGTTGCTACTGTATAACCAGCTCTGACTTCACACTGGTTTATCCTGGATTTTTCAGGGTTTTGAGGCGATAAGGTAGTTAAATGCACTGTACTGTGTGTCCTATGCTAATTTTCTAACGTGCTAGCAGGCGCAACGCCTCACATCTTGGTTTGGATTTACATGGGGTGCCTATTTCTGAAGGCTAAATTCAGCACATACTCTCCGGCCGTTGGAATATCGACATGCTAATTTGCTATATACCGCAGAAAGTAGCCAAATGTGATGCAAGCGCTGTGCAATTCCTCGCATGCAGGTGCGAATGCGCTTCAGAAAAGCATGAGCTCTGGGTGAGTCCTGCACCTCACCTCTAATTCTGCCCCCAGGTCTTTTTCTGAGCTCTCTCTGCTTTTAAGATTGAAAGTTGCGAATGTGACTTGGAGAGTGGAGATTTGATATGTGCTGTTTTATTTATTTACTGAAAACTTTCCATGAATACGATGCAAATAAAAAAAAACCCTGAAAAGCACTGTATAACCTGCAGTCTTTACCTTTGAGTGATCTGATTTAAACACATAAAAATTAGTTGGTTTGAATATGAATTAATGCTTATAGGTTCTCGTTATAGATCTCGTTTACAGTTTAGCAGTTGCTTTTTTCCAATGCGACTTACAATTAAGGAGGCATTCAGTGATTCAGCAGGAAGAGGCAATACACACAACAACTGCCAAGTATATAAAGAAACTGATAGTGCTCTGAAAATTAAGTACTAGAGTAAAAGAGTGTTTCTACAGGTGGTTTGTCAAACCCACTCATCGTTTTTTCGAGATATGGAGTGATTGTAAGAAAGTGTCTGATGCAAATGTGCAAAACTGGTGTAAGTGTCGGTTAAAGTGTCAGCGAGATAAAAGAGTGTATTTTCTACATGTGGTTTGTCAGGCCCACTCACCTGTGTGAGGCACACTCACAATTGTAGTGGTGTAACGGATCACAAATCTCACGGCTCGGATCACGTTATGTTTTTTTAGTCACGGAGCAGCCAAAAAGGGGAGGAGACTAATGTAATTTGCCTTCCATTTATTACAAAAACAGTACTGCAAGCAACTTTTGGTTTTAACAAACAGAACTTAGAACCTGTAATTTTATTAAAAATAGAATGAAGAAATAATCAGCTGAATAAAAATAAATTTTAAAATTCACTGTTACTACTACTGTTGCTGAAAACACAATTTGTATAAATCTAACATTATAATTTGTACAACCCATATTTATTTTCAATAAATGATTTGGTTATTCACTCATAAAACGTCATGTTTTATTGCTAGATGCAGCCACCTATTGGTTAAATTATGTAATTGCTGCTTACAACTTTCATTTTTAAGCGACGTTAAATGCATATGATGGTGATTGTAATCTTTACGATAAACATAAGTGGTTCTATCTTAACTATAAACTGTTCTCCCAGTATTTCTGTGTTATTTGTAACTTCATAACTAACTCAAAAGACTAAAAACTGCATCTCTTTCTTAATTTTTGCGTTTTTCAAACACAGATTTGAATGCAGCGAATCGAAGGATTAATAAACATATGCAAGTTACCATCATTTATAATTTATGTTGCGTGGGTGTTGAGATCCCGAACTTTTAATGGTTAATTACATGTTAATTCAGACTAAACAAGTGGTGACAGAAAACACCTTTAATAACCTAAGAAACCCAGCACATCCCGAATAACCCACCACAACTTCTTCCACCATCCTTATATTTTACTGGAAAGCCTAAATGCTTTCACACATGTGATTTGAATGATGCGAGAGGTGATCTCTCTGTGATCGTTACAACTTATCCCATGCTTATCCCACATTTTTTAACCTTATATTTGTCATAGAGTTCTCTAGTGAAGATAATTGAATAAAATTAGATAATACAATGAAAAAAAATCACATTAACTGGTTTATTCAAGTCAGACATAAAAGGTAACATACATATCTTAATATAACCACACCACACAACCTCAAAACAATATGCAATTCTGTAAGGGTGTAATGGATCACGGTTGATTCGTGAGTCGTACGGCTCACAACCCACTGTTCGGAACACACGTGGCCTGTGGATTAATAAATTTTTTTTTACTTGTAGATTAATCCTAAATTTGTAACGATCACAGAGAGATCACCTCTCGCATCATTCAAATCACATGTGTGAAAGCATAGGCTTTCCAGTAAAATATAAGGATGGTGGAAGATTAGCATGGTCCCTTGCGCAAAGATGAAACGCAAAATCGTGAAGCGAATCAATATGTTTACGTTTGCAATTTATATGATGTTATTTATTTATTTGTATTTATTTATGTTGTATTGTTCTGCTTTTATGTCAATGCTCTGCATTTAATATTCATCTGCATTATTTGAAATAAGAAAAATCAATAAAGTTAAAATCATAAAAAAATAAGAATTTGAAGTCCTAGTTTGTGCTCAGTTTATAGAAAGCAAAATTCTCACCTTTATTACTCCTAATGCAACAAAATGAAGATTATATAATGCTTGCCAAAATGAATGCAGCCACAAAAAATACTGCTAGTTACTGTAGTAGTAGTAATAATAATAATAATATTTGATTACAAGATGATTAATATATTAATAATATATATCAGCCACCAGCACTCTGACAGCTTAAATAAACCTTAATGTATCATTAGAAGCCATGGGTCTACATTTTGCTTTGCCTGTATATTATTTATATAATATATTTTTGTACCCTTAAAGAATAAAAAGTCATTTTAGATAGCCGGAATGTGAGTAAACTGACAGCAAATATTCATTTTTCGCTTGAACACACTACTCTAAGAACTAAGTCTTGCCAAAAATCCCATTGGTGCATGTATTATTTATTTTACTATTGAATTATTTAAGACAAGCACTCACCTGTCCACAGCGATGGCCAGCAGAGCATTGGTGGACACGTAGAGAGACACAGTCCTCAAGTAGTTAATGGAGACACAAAGCACAATCCCATGATCCCATGACAGCCGCTTGACCACGTAATAATCCACCAGGAAGGGGCAGCACACAGTCGCCACCAGAAAGTCTGATATTGCCAAGTTGGCGATGAGTAAATTGGTCAAATTCCTCAATTTCTTGTAACGTGCCAGCGAGGCGATAAATACGCAATTACCAACGCCACAGACCAGCATAATGCAAACCAGGACCATCGCAATTACAATGGTGGCCACGAAAAACGCTCGTCCCTGAGTCGTGTCGGGAATTTCGTCCACCGGGACCTCGTAATCCACAGGGATGTCATAGATGAGGTCATGAGGACTCCCGGACGGGTGAATAAGAGTCCATGTCTCTGTGCTTGTGTTGTTTTCAGTCATCTTGTGTGTTTACTGGTCCGTCAAAGCACCGGGGTCTTCCATACTTGAATATATAATCTGCAAAACACACAAGATTTTCACTGTACGATGCTGGGAAAATCTGACATTCATTCATTCATTTTTCTTCAGCTTAGTCCCTTATTTATCAGGGGTCGCCACAGCGGAATAAATCGCCAACTTATTCAGCATATGTTTTACACACTGCCTTTTAAGCCGCAACCCAACACTGGGAAGCACCTATACACTCACGCATTCACACATACTCATACACTACAGCCAATTTAGTTTATTAAGTTCTCCTATAGGGCATGTCTTTGAACTGTAGGGGAAACCCGAGCACCCGAAGGAAACGCACACCAACTTGGGGAGAACATGCAAACTCCACACAGAAATGCCAACTGGCCCAGCTGGGACTTAAACCAGTGACCTTCTTGCTGTGAGTCAACAGAGCTAACCACTGAGCCACCGCATTGCCAAAATCTGATATTACGATATTTTATTGTTCTGTGATAATTATTGCGATATGAAACTTTTACAGTTTCAAAAGATGGCTTGAATAGCTCTATTTGACAGTTTTCTGGGGAGACTAACAGTATTTAGGTACAAAAATGAAATAGTCACAATGCAAAGAGTGCTTTTCTTACTTTGCTTTGTCTCATTTCTAGACCACCAAATATCTAAACATTCTTAGATCAAGTAAAAATATTGCTTTCTTTTCAACTTCATAAAATTTTTTTTAAAAATTAGGAGATTTTCACTTTGAAATGTGGATGTTTGGACTAGAGACAAGACAAAAATTCTAAGTAAATCATTTATTTTTGCATAAATCGTAAACATTCCATATAAATAAAGTAATTATGCAATTCTGTAGCTCCAGGTCAACTATAACTCAGACTGGTGCCAATGGCGTAGTGGTTAGTGCATCGACACATGTTCACTTCAGTTTCATGGTGACTAGACTTCGATTCCCACCTCGAGGTTGTATGCTGAGCCTTCCCCTTTCTCTGCTTTCCTGTCTATACTCTCTACTGTCCTATCAATTAAAGGTGAAAACCCCCCAAAAATAGTTATAAAAATACTATAATTCAGTCTGAAATCTTGCGATGTGTGACTATTGCAGATTTGACCAAAAAACAGAAATGTGAGCACATCTGAGATTCTAAAAGACAGGTGCTCGATCAAAAACAAACACAGTGGAAAAAGTCACAAGAAAATCGGCACTTTAGCTCTTTTTTTTATTGTAACAACGTTTTAACCAGTCAAAGAACCATTTTTAAATGGGAAGAACACTTCAAACTCTGCATTAACTGGACGTTGCACTGCAAAAATATGCTTTCTTTTCTTTTCTTTCTTCTTTTTTTGTCTTGTTTCTAGTCCTTATATCTAAACATTCTTAAATCAAAAAGCATTTTTTAGACAAACAAAAAATACTGGCTTGTTTTCTGAAAGAAATATGTCAAAAATAAAGGGAGTTTTTCCTTAAAACAAGCTAAATAATCTGTCAAGGGAGTAAGTAAAAGAACCTTATTTCGAAGCAAAGAAGAAAAAAGATTATTTTGCTTACCGCATTATTTAGCTTGTTTTAAGTAAAAAGCTCTTAGGGCTCGTTCATTTTGACTCATTATTTCTGAAAACAAGACACGCTTCCTGACTAAAGATTTTTTAGATATTTAGACTAGAAACAAGACAAAAACTCTAGTAAGAAATACTAAGAAATACTAAGAAATTTTTTCATATAAAACTTATATTTCATTTAATCGGTTTAGGGTTATTTTGGAGCTCCTCTTATTCTTTCACTTGCAGCAAACTAATGGTTGGAGGGGGCGTTGCTAAGCATATCTTTTTTTTTTTTTTTATTATTGAAATTACAAAATTCAAATACAACAAAATGGGATTTAACTTTACAACTTGTGTGTAACATATGGAAGGCTCAACACAAAACAATATACAAAGCTACAAATGTAATATACAAAAGCATTCAAGCTAAAATAAATCCAAGAGTGAAAGGAAAACACAAAAAAATAAAAAATAAATAAAAAATAAGTACAACATAGATATTATCTATGGCAAGTTATATACTACAAATAAATTGAACATTTGTAAGGCAATATTTGTTTTCATTTTAGCCAGGGCATCTGAAAATACTTTAAGTTCTTTTATAAATATAATAAGTAATGGAGGTGTTTTGAAATATCTACATTTATGAATAAAATATTTGGCTGACACAATTATAATATTTATCAAATCGTGCAAAGCAGAGCAATCTTTAGTAATTCCATATAGTACATCTTGTAATGTAAAAGTCAAACCTTCAGCATCCACATTTTTTATTTGCAACCAGTCTTGTACTTTTTTCCAAAATGATTGAATGGCGCTGCAAGAGAAAAATATGTGTTCTGTGTCTTCACCAAAGTGTTTACATAAATGGCATGGTGAGTTTTCTAAGATAAATTTTAGGTGTAAGAATCTATTAGAAGGGTATATATCATTTAATATTTTAAATTGTACTTCTTTTGCCTTGGGGAGAATTGGAAATTTAAGATATGTTGTTCTAAAATATTTAACAGTATTTTTATCCACTGAATGAAATAACCTATTTCTTAATACTTGATAAGGGAAACAAGATTGGATAATAATTTGTCTTAAATGTTTATTAGTGCAAAGTTTATTATCAAATTTAATCTCACCAGTATATAATAAGGGAAGAACTGGAGTAATTTTCGAATAGGATAGGTAACTTTCATTAACATTTTTATACCTGAGGGTATAGCACTAATAACAGTGAAAAATTGCTTTGGATGACAAGCAAATCCATGTCTTAGAGTGAAAGTATTGTAATCTAGAATATTGCCCCTTCCATCCATTAAGTCTGTTACTGACCAAATATTTTTATTGCTAAGCATATCTCAACCAATCCGTCAAACTGACTGATGTCATCAGAGATGGACTGCCATTCCAGAGTGGAAATAAATAGTCAGGTTTTGATTAACGATTATCAAAACAAACCTTTTTTTATTGGATTTATTTGCACTGAATATTTTTTTTTTATACTTTATTTTTATTACTTTTAAGGAAAGAATAAAAATAAATAAATAAATAAGTCTATAAAAATAAAACAAGGGGGGAAAAAATACAAGAAGTAGGTAAGTAAATAATACAATAAAACACCAGAACTTAAATGAACGGTTGACAGGTCACATATTTCCTTACAGGTCACATGAACAGATACATATATAAATCAGATTACACTGTGTAAAGGCATAAGTACAATCCATTTCTCCCAATATTGCAGGTATTTGTCCATTTGTAGTTTTAAAGAAAAAGTCATCCTCTCCATATTTTGAACATTAGATATGATATCCAACATTTCAGATTTTGTAGGGGGTTCCAGTTGTAGCCACTTTCGAGTCACAGTTTTCTTACTGGTTGCTAGGAGTATTTTTAATAAGTACTTGTCTTTTACCGTTAGGTTGGCTGCAATATTTCCCAGATAAATTGTTGTAAAAGAAAGATCCACATCATCACCAAAAATATTACGTATTATTTGCTTTACATCCTTCCAATATGGCTGGGCAACTCCAAAATATGTGAAAGTGGTTTGCCAAGTCTTTTCCACATTTCCTCCAGCACTGCCCCCTGTCCTTGTCCTGTGTTTGCATGTATGTTAATTTGGGGGTTATAAAGTATCTGGTAAGATTCTTCCAGCAAAAATCTCTCCACATACCAGAATTGGAAGAGGTGGCCTGTACTGAGCAGATATTCAACCAATCTTCCTCTGAGATAACTAGGTTGGATTCTCTCTCCCATTTTAGTCTGATATAATTTGTTAATTCTTCCTTGGTCGATCGGATGGCAGAATACAATTTTGAAACAAGTCTTCTATTATCTTTGTTCTTGTAGATGTCTATAACTAAGTCAATTAAATTGGGGGGATGGTTCTCTGAGCATCTAATCTCACTATTAAAATAGGTTCTGGTTTGCAAATACCTAAAGAAATCACATTTGTCCAGACCATACTTATCGCACTGAATATTTTTTAACATTAAAGGGATAGTTCACCTAAAAATGTAACTTTACTTGTTCGAGACCTACAGTATTTAAGATTCTTTCTTCTGTTGAACACATAGGAAGATATTTTGATAAATGCTGCTACCCATTGACTACCATAATATTTTTTTCCAACTATTCAAGCCACCAACCTGATTTCACAGAGTAGGACCTGTTTCTGGATTAACATTAATGTTGATCATGGAACAACATTCCAATCAGCCAATCAGAATAAAGGATATGTTTACAGATTATGTTAAGTGCTTACGGTTAGGTTTATGCGCTTCTACATGATTGTTCCCCTCAGATTTTGGGAATAATTTACAGTTATGGTTGGGTTTATAGGGAATAAGTATGGATTACATTTTCCAACAAAAATGATGTTCCAGGATCAACATAGATGTTAATCCAGGATCGTATCGTACTCTGCAAAATTATGACGTGTGGTGGCAGCAACCAGCATTCTTCAAAATATCTTCTTTCGTGTTCAACACAGGAACCAAACTCATAAAAGTTTAAAACCTCACAAGGAAGACTAAATGATGATGTAAATTTCATTTTTGGATAAATATATATTACTTACGATGTTTTTAAGACTAACAATGATCAAAATAAACATTGTGCATTTTTATTTATACTTTAGAATTGAAAGGACTTGTTTCGCATAATCGAAAGCTTCCATGAATGTGGAATTAATGCCAACAAATCATTAACATTAATTTTCAGATTTGTACAGTCAGCAATCGCTCTGACATTCTGCCTAACATGTCATTTTAGTATTTTATGGAACAGATTGAAATGATATGTGGTCATTAAATGTCAACAAAACCTTCCCTTAGGGGTAAACTGTGATTTTATTGGAAGAAAACATATTCATAACCCAGTGAAACGTGTGGATGGGAGACAACAGCATGCCTAGTTATCTGGCACATTCAGGTTTCTAAGTTTGGAGAGCTCACAGATGGCCATTAGAGAAGGATTTATGATAATGCGCAGAATCTGGTGCATGTTTACTTAAAACTTTGCTGAACTTAGTTTTGTTAAAAATGGAATGTTATTCATTTACATATTTGAGTGTGTGTGCGTGTGTGTGTGTGTGTGTGTGTGTGTGTGCGTGTGTGTGTCTTTATGTGTGCGTCCATCTGTGTGTGTGTGTGTTTATTTTTTCCAGTTGCTTCTTTTGTCATCTGGTATTACAGCGTATGAGAATGCTGTAATAAATATGGCGGATCAGTCTTTGAGTGATACAAATCATTTTACTAATTGCTCATGTGTACTAGTAATCTTATCCAGTCAAGCTCGAAATTATTCATCATACCCCTGGGTTATGAAATCATCTTGAAATCATGCTTGACTGTATATACAGTTGAAGTCAGAATTTTATAGCCCCTTTGAATTTTTTATTCTTTTTTTATATATTTCCCAAATGATGTTTAACAGATCAAGGAATTTTTCACAGTATGTCTGATAATATTTTTTCTTCTGGAAAAAATCTTATTTGTTTAATTTCGGCAAGAATAAAAGCAGTTTTTAATTTTTTAAAAGCCATTTTAAAGACAAAATTATTGGCCCCTTTAAGCTATATATTTTCCCGATAGTCTACAGAACAAACCATCATTATCCAATAACTTGCCTAATCACCCTAACCTGCCTAGTTAACCTGATTAACCTAGTTGAGCCTTTAAATGTCACTTTAAGCTGTATAGAAGTGTCTTGAAAAATATCTAGTCAAATATTATTTACTCTCATCATAGCAAAAATAAAATAAATCAATTATAAGAAATGAGTTATTGAAACTAATATGTGTAAAAATGTGTTTAAAAAAATCTGCTCTCTGTTAAACAGAAATTGGGTAAAAAATTAAACAGGGGGGCTAATAATTCTGATTTCAACTGTATATATGATTTTAAAATAAACATTAAATGTATGACTAGCCTAAAAATGCTGCACAGACCTATTTATGTACAAATTTGTTGAAAATATATTCTGTAAAATGCAGTTATCCAAAACAATAAATGACCATTTATTCAGCATCTTGTTCAAAAGTTTCTTTCTTCTGTCAAACACAAAATAAGATATTTTGAAGAATGTAAGGTTTGAATTCAATAATATTTTCCTACACTGTAAAAAAATACTTGCCTTAAATATTTAACCAGAATCAAATAGGCATGTGACGATAACTGTTTTAAAGGTATACTGCGGTTTGGAAAAGTCAAGGTTTTAAAACCCCCAACATTTTCTGCTATACCAGGGGTGGCCAACCCTGTTCCTGGAGAGCCACCTTCCTGCAGATTTCAGTTGCAACCCCTATCAAGCACACCTGCCTGTAATTATCACGTGGTGTTCAGGTCCTAATTAATTGGTTCAGGTGTGTTTGATATGGGTAGCAACTGAAATCTGCAGGAAGGTGGCTCTCCAGGAACAGGGTTGGCCACCCCTGTGTTATACCATTCCTAAGGTATGTGTACAATTTTCTTTTTTTTTTGTTTGTTTTAGTTTTAGTTTTTTAGTTTTAGTTTTTTATTTTGCCGTTTAAAATTGTAAAGTTGCCGCTTTAATTGTAAAAATGCTGTTTTACATTGTATAGTTGCCGTTTTAATTGTAATGATGCCATTTTAAATGGTAAAGATGCTGTTTTAAATGGTAAATATGCTGTTTTAAATGCTATTTTAAATTATAAAGATGCCAGGAACATTTATAATTGTAAAGAGACATTTTAAAAGAATATATTTTACAACAGTAATCACAAAACCGTGAATCTGTGATATTTTTTATCCAAGGTTATCATACCATCACAATCTTATACCGGCCCATGCCTAGAATCAAATTAACCTTTTGAGTGCATTGAACTTATATTATGTTAATCTAACTTAAAACACTTTGCGTACCTTATAAAATTAAGTTAGAACATTATTAACGTAAATAAATAAGTTACAATGACCTAAAAACATATGCTATCAGGACAAATTGATCATATAATTCTAAGAAATAAACTCGTAAAGATGTACATTTATTAGTAAATGTTCCTTATTGTGGTGTACCAAAATGCATTTACAGTTACGGTGTGGAACAACCTAAATGTTATTCCTAATGTAGAAATGGCACTTTAATTCTATTATTAACGTTGAATGTCTCCATCATGAGCAAAACACGACCAGCAGATGCATATTAATAATTAACTATAGAATAATTGCAGCTTTAATGCCGTTTTCTGCATGGAACTATAATTATGAGCAGTTAAATTGTTCATTTACATGTAAATAAACTCAATAACAGTCTCAAAATTGAACTGTTACAAACTTTTAATATACATTTGTTTGTAGTTCAGGGGGTGTCCAACAAATAAGCATATACTGTAAGGTCAAGTCAGTCGTTTTTACAGTAAAAAAGAGCAAACATTCAGGCGGAAACTAAACCAATTAACTTCACATTGACAGAAATAATACTAAATCATGTATATCCTACCTTCACAGCATTATTCTCCTAGTTGTGCTCCTTTATGTCTCCGACTGAAGACATCTTCATCTTCGTCTTCAGATCAGGTCTAGTTTTTCTGCTGCTGCTGTGCTGTCCGCTCATGAATGAATCCTCAGCGCCTCCTCCCTCCCTCTAGCGGCAGAACTGTGTGACTGCGAGTCACTTTTTGAAGGTCCAGTGTCCAAAGTCCAAAACCCGTTTTTAGATGTTAGTATCAGTATGTTAGGTGTAATGATATCTAAAGGCTACTAAAACAGTGACAAAATTTGTGTTTAGGAGTATAAAACCGCTTGCAGTTTTTCACCCCTGCTAAAAAAAAAGCTTAAACCAGCCTAGGCCGGTTGGCTGGTTTTAGCTGGTCGACCAGGCTGGTTTTAGAGGGGTGTTGGCCATTTCCAGGCTGGTTTCCAGCCATTTCCAGCTTAGTCTTAGCTGGTCAGGCTGGGAGATGACCAACTAAAACCAGCTTGACCAGCTTAGCCAGGCTGGGAGCCCAGCCTAAACCAGCTATGTCCAGCTTAAACCAGGCTGGTTTTAGCTGGATTTAGCTTGTCATTTTCCAGTCTGACCAGCTAAGACCAGGCTGGAAATGGCTGGAAACTGGCCTGGAAATGGCCAAAACCCCTCTAAAACCAGCTGGTCAACCAGCTAAAACCAGCCAACCAGCCTAGGCTGGTTTAAGTTGGATTTTTCAGCAGGGACGCCACGTTTATTTTTCTCTTCACCTCATACAGTTTCTCATCAAATCTTGACCAATCAAATGCTCCCTAGTATCCAAGATGCCCCGCCCCCTTCTTCTCGTTTGCTTTTCATTTGATGCGCTTGATCTCAACCACTCTCTTTGGCAGAACTGTGATTAAAATTGAACGCTAAGGTTGCCTTTTAAAGGGGAGGAGCTACCCGATGTCCCGCTCTCTCCTCATGTTGAGATTGCGTTAAATAAATGCACATTTCAAAACACTTCATGGGACCTTTAAATAAGACTATATCGTAATATTTACCACAGAGGACAGAGATAAAAAACTAAGAGGATTATAAACTACAGTATTTACATTAAAGTCCATGTAGAACAGCAATTGCTGAAACTTATTTTTCAGTATGTTGACGTACTTATCTGCTAGTTAAGTGATGACGTGTTGGTGACGTATGTATACTGTTTGCAGGTCCAAGCCCCCACTCATTTGACTTGAGAAAATATTTGTTTATGATCACTTTTTATTCCTATCAAACATTAATGTTAATTTTATATAAACTCATGGTGTACACAACAATCTCTGGGCTTGCTGCATCACAAATACCAAAATTTTAACAATTTATAAAAAATGAATCACTTTCTGGGTGAAGCAGTGGCGCAGTAGGTAGAATGTCACAGCAAGAAGGTCGCTGGGTCGCTGGTTCGAGCCTCAGCTCAGTTGGCGTTTCTGTGTGGAGTTTGCATGTTCTCCCTGCGTCCGCGTGGGTTTCCTCTGGGTGCTCTGGTTTCCCCCACAGTCCAAAGACATGCGGTACAGGTGAATTGGGTAGGCTAAATTGTCCGTAGTGAGTGTGTGGATGTGTCCCAGACATGGGTTGTGGCTGTGTAAAAACTTGCTGGATAAGTTGGTGGTTCATTCCGCTGTGGCGACCCCGGATTAATAAAGGGACTAAGCCGACAAGAAAATGAATGAATCAATGAATCACTTTCTGGCTATCGGATATTTGGCATGGACATATAATGCGATTGTGATTTTCGAAAGTATTACATTGCTTGTTTATTGTTATCATTTACATACAGTTTGATAGATCGCTTGGACCCGGAAGCCGCTTCGCATGAGGTCACACTTAACAAGCGGATTCCAACTGAAACGGAATAGGGGCGGAGTTTTTCTTTAGAAAATTAACGATAAGAGGGGCGTGGCTAGTAATATTGTTGCTGAAGCTGCCATACGGACATCTAAACGCAGAAGTAAATGTCAGACATTTTGTTTTCAGTGGATTACCTTGCACTGATTGTTTACCAGAAGAATATTACCATGTGCTATCAACATTTAATCAAAATAAAAGTTTTGACACATTTTAATTGTGACTGAACTATTAATTTGTAAAATGTCAATAAACGCCTTTTTAAACTTAACAACAACAGTTAAGTTTGGGCAAAATCCCTTTAATGCAAGTCATTTCACTCAGCAGCCATCTTTGAAACACCTCTCGAGCAGCATGCTTGGGTATTCTGTTTAAATAGGGAAACACAAAATTCTCCAAAACTGTTTGCCAAGCTTATGATTGAGTATCAAATTATGAATCACCAATAAAATTAACCAACAACTGTGTCTTTAGTTTCATTTCTAAACGTCCAAATCACACAAAATCTGCAGAAACTCACTTCTGGTCCGAGCCCCTCCACCGGAGTATCGTCAGTCTAGTCTATATCGATCGATGATTGGCGCCTGCACTTAAGGGCGGGTTTTATTTGCCATATAGCGATCGATGATTGGCTCCCGTACTAGTAGGCGGGGCTTTATGTATCATATTGACCGTTACATTTCAAAAAGATACGAGTGACACGTTTGGTCTACCAGATGCGAAGATTTGTTGTTGTTTTTTTCCTCCTCGATTATTCGTAATTTGTAAGTAAAGCTAGCATATCAACATTCAATATGCTGTTACCTAAAAACTGTAAGTTTTATAAGCCACTCATGTGCGTTTTTTATATCACAGGTAAGTGTTCTGAAGCCTGTACCGAAGAAAGCTCTTTAAAATCACTAATTCATGGCCTCGAGTGGCTGTTTGCATTATTAAACCTTTTAAATATGAAAGTGTGTGAAAAAAATGTATAGGCTTTTCACTTCATACTCAAAACAGCAGCATTTAGCGTGTGCCATTTTAGGGGTTCGTTTTATCCTTTTAAATCCTGCAGTGTGGTCTAAAATGTTTAAATATGCTGATATTTTAAATGATTTATCATTTTCTCACGACCTGATATAAGTAATAGAATGATATGATTAAACTCTAAGTGCAAACACCTTTTATGTGTGCTTCTAGCTCAATTTAAACATTATTGTTGTAGTTAAAGCATTTTTTTCCTTAATAGATTTTCTCATTTAGTTAAATAAAAGTGTCACTATGAACAATGCTCATTACATTCAGTTTGGTATAGTTCCTATTTTAAATCTATCATTTGACATCATTATTTTTCCACTACAATCAAGGATGACTGAGAAAAGCTTGTAAGAAACAATATAGTTCAACTTCAAACATAATTGACCTTGATACTGGGAAAAAAGATGTCATGAGGTAAATTAATTGGACAAATAAATCAATATATAGACAAGAAATTGTATTTCACCAGCTACTATCTTACCATGTATATAATACAGCAATTTTAATTGTTATTGTGGGTCCATTTGAACAGGGAACATTTTGGCAACATGGCTGTCATATAAACATATCCTCTTATTACTACAGTGGAACCAAAATCTAAATACAGAATAGCAAAACTTGAGTAATTATGCAGACAATGACCACGAAAACATGTATTTTAAACATCCAAATGAAAATTATCATTTTCACACAACCTCATATAAATTACAGAATGATATGCTTATAACTCAATGTGCAAATAACTTTTATGTGTGATTTTATGTAAAGTTAAATGTAGGTTTTTGTTTTAAAGCATTTTCATTTATACTGTAGATTTTCTCATTAAGTTCAAAGAAAAGTGTCATTATGAACACGATGCTCATGTCATTTGATTTGGTATCGTTTATATTGTATATCTGACATAATTTGAAATCATTATTTATCCAGTACAATCAAGGATGACTGAGAAAACCTTGAGAGAAACAATATAGTTCAACTTCAAACATAATTGACCTTGATACTGGGAAAAAATATGTCATGAGGTAAATTAATTGGACAAATAATTCAATCTATAGACAAGAAATTGCATTTCACCAGCTACTATCTTACCATGTATAATACAGCAATTTTAGTTGTTATTGTGGGCCCATTTGAACGGAACATTTTGACAACATGGCTGTCATATAAACATATCCTCTTATTACTGCAGTAGGAACAAAAATCTGAATACAGAATAGCAAAACTTGAGTAATTATGCAGAAAATTACCTCGAAAACACGTAATTTAAACATCCAAATGAAAATGTAATGCCAGTAAACAAGCTTCCAAAGTGTATGAAGTAAATTGCCATGACTTAATTTTCTTCTTTCTTAATTTCTTCCTTTATTATAGAATTGAGACGTGACCCAGACACATATTATGGGACTGAAAATGAGCTTCTTCTTCTTGCTGACGACTGAGAGGAAGGACAGGCCATCGCGACAGCCTGCGGAAGAAAGTGAAACAGGTGTTGTATTAAAGATTTATTCACATGTTGACCACAGAATCTATCAAAGAGCATCATGCTGTCCTCCACACACACACAGACACACACGCCATCGCTCACTCCCTGACAGGATCATTCCTGAATAGCCAGTAAATTTACAGCTTCAGCACAGATAGTCGGGGACTTTAGATTGCTGCATGGACAAAAATATCCCTCTCCTTCTCTAAATCACTCACACACGCACACCATCCTGGGCAAACAACAAGCCATTAAAGCAACACTCTGCTTCTTTTTTTTTCAAGAAATAGGCATAGATGACACCTACATAGTTAAACAGTTGAGTTTAAACATTTTTATTATACATTAAGCAGATCTCCTGGTCTTGCGGTAGCACTTTTAGCTTAGCTTAGCATACATCATTGAATTGGATTAGACCATTAGCATCTCACTCCAGAAACTGAAAAAAAAAAAGTTAATAATTTTCCTCAGTGGTTATCCCTGTTGCCTTACAACAAGAAGATTACTGGTTCGAGTGCAGGCTGAGCCAGTTGGCATTCCTGTGTGGAGTTTCCCTGTTCTTCTTATTTTTGCGTGGGTTTACTTCAGGTGCTCCGGTTTCCCCCACAGTCCAAACACATATAGGAGAATTGAATAAGCTAAATTGGCTGTAGTGTATGAGTGTGTGTCAGAATTAGAGTGTATGGATGTTGTGGCAAGAAAGGCATCCGTTGTGTAAAACATATCCTGGAATAGTTGGCGGTTCATTCCACTGTGGCGATCCCTGTCCTTTGAGACTAAACCGAAGGAAAATGAATAAATGAAAGTTTGACTCTTTTGTGGTGTACTAAGACTGATGAAAAATGAAAAGTTGCTACAGTATATTCTAGGCCAATATGGATAGGAACTATAATTTTGGCGTAATGATCAAGGAACTTTGCTGCTATTCCATGGCTGAAGCAGGAGCAATGATATTATGCAGATCTGTTACTAAGTTACCTAACTGGGGACTACTGACAAGTGCTTCTTTTTATAATTTGTCAAGTTTTAAATAGAAAAAATATCAAAACATTTAATTTTGATAAATTTTCAAGCAAGATGCTAATGGTCTAATTCGATTCAATGATTTATGCTAAGCTAAGCTTAAAGCAATCGCCAAATAACAATCAGAGACAACATGAGGACAAAATTAGAACATTCTCATCATAAGTAACAGCAGATTTAAATTGGAAAATTATCAAAACATTTTTTTTTATTTTCAGGCAAGATGCTAACAGTGTAATCTCATTCAATTATGTATGCTAACCTAAGCTAAAAGTGCTCCCGCCAACTCTAGTGGAGTTGTAAAAATGAGCCTATTTCCTACAATTAAAAAGTGAAGTGTTCCTTTAAAGCAGCACCAAACAAACAATCTGAGACAACAAGAGGACAAAATTAGAACATTCTCATCATAAGTAACAGCAGCTTTAAAAAGAAAAATTATCAAAACTATATTCATTCATTTATTTTCAATCATTTATCCGGGGCCGGGTTGCGGGGGCAGCAGTCTTATAAAAGAACCCCAGACTTCCCTCCCCCCAGGTACTTCCTCCAGCTTCTCCGGGGGGATCCCGAGGTGTTCCTAGGCCAGCCGAGAGACAGTCTCCATATTTCTCCAGCGTGTCCTGGGTCTTTCCTGAGGCTTCCTGGTGTTGGGACATGCCTGGAACCCTTCCCTAGGTAGGCATCCAGGAGGCACCTGAAACAAATGCTAGAGCCACCTCAGCTAACTTCTCTCGATGTGGCGGAGCAGCGGCTCTACTTCGAGCTTCTCCTGGGTGACAGAGCTCCTCACCCTATAAGGGTACACCCTGCCACTCAGCGAAGTAAACTCACTTCGGCCACTTGTATCCGAGATCTTGTTCTTTCAGGCAAGACCCAAAGCTCATGACCATAGGTGAGAGTAGGAACGTAGATTGACTGTAAATCGAGAGCTTTGCCTTTCGGCTCAGCTCCTTCTTTACCACTGGACCGGTACATCGACCTCATTACTGCTGCCATTGCACCAATCCACCTGTCAATCTTACGTCCCCTCGCTCGTGAACAAAACCCAAGATACTTGAACTCCTCCATCAGGGGTAAAGACTTTTACCTGGAGATGGCAAACCACCTTTTCCCGGTGGAGCACCATGGCCTCGGACTTGGAGGTGCTGATTCTCATTTAAGCCGCGTCACACTCAGCAGCAAACCACCCCAGTGCATGCTGAAGGTCCATGTTTGATCAAGCCAACAGAACAACATCATGTGAGAATAACAGAGAAGAAATCTTGTGGTCCCCAAACCTGAGCCCCTCCAGTTCAAGGCAGCACCTTAAAATTCTGTCCATAAAAATTATGAACAGAGTTGGTGGCAAGAGGCAGCCCTGCCGGAGCCCAACATACACTGGTAACAAGTCTTACTTATTGCCGGCAATGCGAACCAGACTCCTACTCTGTTCATACAGGGACGAGTCGGCCCTTAACAGAGCGCCCTATACTCCAAGAGCAACCCTCTACAGCAGTGGTTCTCAAACTGTGGTACGTGTACCACTAGTGGTACGCGGGCTTCCTTCTAGTGGTACACGGAGGAATGAAATATGTCATGTACATCCTACATATATTTCAAAATTTATTAAAAATGATGTATATATTATGCCATATATGACATATAGTCTATATTTCTGAGGTAATCTGCCATGTTTTTTTAAATGTGCAGAGTTGTAGCTGCTTTACTGGGCCTACTACGTTACTATATTTCAATACAGCTCATTTTGGTGGTACTTGGAGAGACAATTTTTTTCTGAGGTGGTACTTGATGAAAAAAGTTTGAGAACCACTGCTCTACAGAATTCCACGAGGGACATGGTTGAATGCTTTCTGCAAGTCCACAAAACACATGGGGACTGGTTGGGCATACTCCCATGAACCCTGGAGCACCCTGGTGAAGGTATAGAGCTGGTCCAGAATAAAATGGGAGCCACCACCCCAGTTGCCCAGTCCAGAGGTACTGTCCTCGAAATCCATGCAATATTGTATGTAAACTATATATATATAGTTTATTTATATATATATTTCAAGAAAGATGCTAACGGTCTAATTCGATTCAATGATCTATGCTAAGCTTAATGTGCTGCTGTTAGACCCCGAAATCAGCTAAATGGATGAAAACATTTTAAAGCTCAACTGTTAAACTCTAGGGAAGTTGTGACATAAGCCTAATCTTTAAAATAAAGAAGTGAAGTGCTCTTTTAAACACCAAAAGATCTCAATCAGAGACAACAAGATGACAAAATTAGAACGCTCATCATAAGCAAATCTCATTATAACTGGAAGTGGAAAAATAGTGCGGCTTTAACGGTGGACAGCTGTGTACATCCATTAGACTGCGTCAGAGACCATGGTGAACTCATCTGACGGCAGACGCTTCACAAGTCCTTCCTTCTCGAACACACTGTGTGAATGTCCAGCACGCTTGAGTTACTTCACAGATTGTGTGTGAGGAAACCTGCTGTGTGACCCTGATCAAAGCAGCGTAAAAAACGATGATTAGGCTGTCATGACGACGACAGATCAGCGCTCTGCTCATTTAGAGAGTAAATGGGGATGACGCTAGCTGATGTCGTCTCACTAGCTATCTTTCCATCAGGCTATTTTTGTGCATTGAGGAATATCACATTAAAATTATCCATAGAGGGACGGTTCACCCATAAATGAAAATGATTATGATGTAGCCTTTATTTGTCACATACACTTTCACATGTAGCCTGTCTCATGTTTACTGCACACAACTACAAACTTTTAGAGAATAAAAAATCTCCTTCTCTGCATACTCAAAGGAGAATTAAAGGTCTGCTCATCTTTACTCTTCAAATTTCCCAATTAAATTATCCTGTTTAAATCAATCCCAAGGGAGATATTTGTCCTTTGCATTCCTCCCTCGTATCAAAAAGCTTATAATGGAGTTTTTGTGCCACTCTATATATTTATTTATTACTAAATTACACTAAGTGAGGGGGTCATTATGTGCTGTCGACTAAATTGTTTGTTATTATGCAAATCTCTTGTGACATTTTTAAAAACAGCATGTCTGAAAAATGTCAGTGACCTCAGTGGTCAGATCCACAGCTGTCTGAATGACAGAACCGGTCTCCGACTAAATACCAACATGACTAATTAATCTACTTAGTTTCCCCACAATAAAACGCAATTAAAATATTGACAACAAAACATGTTTGCAGGGCAAGCATTCAACTGCAGTGTTGTATAATAAAGTCAATGCAATAAGCTGCTGCAGTTATTGATGGATATGTCAACTTGTGGCCGAATTTATAAAGGAATTGCACCCAGAACAGAATTTACAGGAGAGAGTGCTGACGCTTATGAAGGTCTCAATATTCTGTGCCAAACCAACTATTTCAGTCCTTCCATCACAAGTCTGTCTGATAGTTTGTCAATCATACACTGTGAAAAATGCTGGGTTTTACACGATCGGTTTGTGTTGGGGCAACATGAAGGAATCAAGTTAACTTTTTACAAATTTAAAGGGCAGCTATTTTACCCCTTTTTCCAAGATTTAAGAGGAGTCATTTATGTCTCTAGAATGTGTCCATAAAGTTTCAGCTCAAAACACCCATTAGATTATTCGTTTTACCTTTCTAAATCTGGAAAATTTAAGCTGTTTAGACTTTGTAGATGTTTTTGTTGCCTGTGCCTTTAATGCAAATGAGCTAGTTTTCCTTTTTTTTTATTTTAAATAATAGTAAAACACTACCATCTGTGATTATTTATTGAACATCAGTGTTGAACAACTGAAATTAAAACACACATTGCCTAAAATGGGCGAGGCAGTGGTGCAGTAGGTAGTGCTGTCGCCTCACTGCAAGAAGGTCGCTGGTTCGAACTTTGGCTCAGTTTGCGTTTCTGTGTGGAGTTTGCATGTTCTCCCTGCCTTCGCGTGGGTTTCCTCCGGCTGCTCTGGTTTCCCCCACAGTCCAAAGACATGCGGTACAGGTGAATTGGGTAGGCTAAACTGTCCGTAGTGTATGAGTGTGTGTGTGTGAATGTGTGTTGATGTTTATCAGAGATGGGTTGCGGCTGGAAGGGCATCCGCTGCATAAAAAAACTTGCTACATAAGTTTGCTTACTACGGCGTCATGTTAATACACGGCTGTCAATCAATTCAGTGGGCAGGGAAACTGCATTTCTACGTCATGTTGCGGTGGACCTCAAAATGGAGGGATTTGGATCCTATTTTAACATCAGGAAATTAAAAAAAAAAAAAAAAAACTTAGTGTTTTATCACTTCAAGCTGTCCAAACAGCTTACAAAAGAAGATTTTCATCATAGCTGCCCTTTAAGCGAATTGAACAAAACAATTAAGTTGTCCCAACACAATCAAGAATGGTCTTTTCAGCTCATTTTAAGTAAGTAGTTTAAACAAGCAACAAAAAATGCAGTTTAGATTGAAAGAAACAGAACATCTATGCAGTGCTTTTTAAAAAGGTAAAAAACAAAAATAAAAACGTCAGTTACATGGGTGGGCGAGATGACATTTATTTTATAGGCTAACTTTTTCAGTCCACAGTACAAAATAAAGATCTATCCTGGAATATTAAAATGTTCTTAGTGACCAAGTAAGATCCATACCAAAAAAAGGAAGAACAGTAATAAAACTAATTGAAAAAGACAAAAAATAAAATAAAAGTCGAGGATTCACTCATTAGTAATAATCCTCAGGTAAAGTCCATTAAAATGTTTGGTTCTTGACAAACAGGCGTCAGTGCCAAATCACTTTTTGGCATAAGTGATCTTCATGGCACACGTGGCTGTGATTCTGAACCCCTGAAGTGCATCTTTCGCCACTCCGGCTTGAGCTTCGCTTTCAAACTCTACAAACGAAATATCATGTTTTCCAGGCACCAAACGCACTTCTTTAAACCCAGGAAACCTAAAAAATAAAATAAAGCCAATGAGTAAACAGAAAATATGTCTGGTTTGTTTGTTTTTTGGGTAACACTTTAAAATAATGGTCCATTAGCTAGTTTATTTATTCATTTATTCTTCTTCTGTTCCTTATTTATCATTTTTACCCTGATTTACAGAAGACACTAGGTAAAATGTCAATCAGTGTCACAGTAGTTTATACATAAAAAATCTTGTCAGCCACACTGAGCAAAAATGATTTGACTACAAATTTTAAAAAAAGTGCAAAATACTCATTTATTATCATTTTAAACCTTGGTATAGTTTCCACTATCCTTCAAATCACTAGGTTTCATCCATGTCTCATCGTTTAAAGGTAATGACATTTAGAATGATCGTTTATTCTTTAATATACAAGAAAAGTTAAACTATTTTATACATGTCATTTATTTTTCACAAAAGTTATGTGTACCATTAAAGGCAGACACTGCATTTAATGCTTCCCACTCGATTTATAGAAAGAAAAACTTCAGTGAGTGTTTAAAAGTTTTCCACCGAAACAAATAAAAAAAAAAAATCTCAATTTAATATTACAAATCACATCTATATACACAGTAAAAATACAGACAACACTGTAGTATAATGGTCCATTAATTAATGTATTTGTTAAAGTATGAATAAGCTTGTAAAGCATTTATTAATCATAGTTCAGAATTTACTACTGCAATAATAAAATCTTAAGTTGTGCTTGTTAACATTAGTTAATGCACAGCGAGTTAACATTAACCAACATAATATACCTTAAACAACCTTATCTTTTAAAAAAGTTGAATAAATACCATAATAAATGGATTACTAATTGTTTGTTCATGCTAGTAAATACATTAACTAATGGACCATTTATTTAAAGCGCTACCAAATTGCACAGTATAAATCATATTTAAAACTTACTGGTTGAATAACATGGAGAGCATCATCTCATTGGTTTCTTCAGGAAGATTATTCAGGAACAGAATATAGTTTGGAGGATTATCCGGGATCTAAAATAAAACAGAAAACCGATTTAAATTCTCATGCACATAAATGAGATGCATTTTCAAAAGTATTAAAAACAAAATATTCACAAAGTGTGTAAATTACGTAAACACACCTGGACTGTAGCAGGTGGAGGAGGTTGTGTGTTTACAGCTCCCTGCAGGGAAAACATGCACATCTTTAAGCTCAATTTGCTCAGTTGACCTGCTTTTTCTTTATTTAAAACAATTTACAGCCAAATTAGCTGGCATCCAGGAGAATCTCCACTCACCGCCGGCTTCTTGTTGGCGTTGGCTGCTGCCTGTTCCTGAGCCTTCTTTTTCTTTTCTTTCTTCTTCTCTTTATCTCCATATGTGCCTCTCATCTTAGAGACCAAGTCGGAGTCTGTTTTTGCATACTGTATTCGCTGCAGGAACATGAAGCGAAGAAACGTGTAAAGCACCTCTAATATTTATAAAATAGCATGTAAACGTCTGATGAACCTGACAGGAGAGGAACAGTTCATTCGCATATGAAAATGAACTATGGCATCACTCTCTTTTAATAGGTTTTTTTTTTGATCACTGGATTGTTCATGCGTGAAATTCAGACTGAAGCCAGGGAGTAAAAAATCTGAGATAGAGGAAAGTCTGTACTGTTGTGCTTTAAACCGCATTTCTAAAGAGATAAATATAACACATCCGGTTGTCAGAATTACTAGCTCTCCTGTATATTTTTTACCCCCAATTTCTGTTCAACAGATTTCTAAACATAATAGTTTTAATAACTCATTTCTAATAAATGACTTATTTTATCTTTGCCATGATGACAGTAAATAATATTTGACTAGATATTTTTCAAGATACTAGTATTCAGCTTTAATTAACATTTATAGACTTAACTAGTTTAATTAGGCAAGTTAGGGTAATTAGATTAAATAAAAAGTGAGTAATGATGTTTTAAGCGTGTCATTTTCAAAATAAATCTGAAATTAAACTAAAACTTTAATCAACTTTAGTCTTGTTCAGAGAACTTTAATAAAAATTTGTTAAATTCAATACTAGTAATATTCAAATGCTGTTTCTGATATTGATCAAATGTGCATTGTCATAGTTGTTATACAGGATTAAAATGTAAGAATTTAAAAATTAAGAATCTCTTTTTCTTTACATTTTGTTTTTGACAGCAGTAGAAAAAATTAAACAATAAACAAAAAAACAACAAACAATTTCCTTTTAAATTTGAATTCAAGCACTTTCAAGGACCTATGTTTGTTTTTAAGTACTTTCCATTGGTAGAATCAATTTGTCTGAAATTCAGCTACTTTCAAGAAATGTGGGGAAAGGGACCCTTGATATACAAATCACAGATGATCAATTGAAGGAAGCTTGGAAAAATGCAATGTCCTTAAAGGTTCAGAACTTTTTTTTTTATATTAACAGATGTGTGTGTGTTGAGCACCAGTCAGCTTTAATTGTGGGGAAAACAAGATAATTTTGAGCTTTTGTCAGCTTACTTCAGCTTCTGGGTTTAAAATGATTTTTGGGGCGGGATCAAATTTGGCGACAGAGCGCAGTACTGCAAGTGCAAAGATGACACGTCGGTTTCTCATTATTATTCATAGCGGAGTTTTCTTATCCTATGTGAAGAGCCTGCTGCTTAATTATTCAATAGAGCACATGCTTTCCGAAGGCAAGGCAGACCTGCCAGTGTCAAGCCCAAGCTGTGAGACACGGACCCACGGCACGCAGTAGTTGTTCATGAAAGCTCGTATGTGTTTGTTTCCATGATCCACGCGGTTTGTTGCATGTTTTTCCCCGCGATCTTGTCAGGGACGATCATACAGCAAAGCTGTGTGTGTGCTGCAAGCATTTTAGTCAGGAGAGCAGCACGAGAATTAGAGAATGGCGGACGCTGTCTTTTATCAGGAGTTCGTTCACATACAGACACATCACCGTGCTGCTGTGTTTGCCTAAATCCTCCAGATTACCAGCAGGACTAATAGTTAAAATAGGCAGGTCAGGAGATCTGCTGCACCGAGCCTGCATTCAGATCTATAATTTAGACCTGGGGATTGAGGGAGAATCCTCATTTATAGTGTTTACATGAACACATTATATATCTTTATAATGATATAAATTGTGGTGATCTGTATATAAAATTACGAATAACAAATGTAGCAGGGCATTAAATTACTGTTTATTTCTTTGCATTTTAACTTTGTAAACTATAAACTCATGCATCTCCTCACGGTTTGTGTCTCATTTTGTGAGCTAACTGACATCAACAGTTGTTCGCTCCCCTTCTCCCCTGCTGGCCACGCCCACTCCTGCCCTTTGCTCGCGTAGCTCCACGCCCATTATAATGCATCTTCTGAAAAAATTCTGAAGTAGACTTTAACTGAAAGTGGGGGGTGTCATGGCCCATTAAGTGTATGTAACAGAGTAAAACCAATGCAACTGAAAATTCTACAGAGCTCACATCCCTCCCTCAGGGAGGCACAAGTTTAACTTCCTAGGGCTTAGTGGCCACATACGTGGACAGCACATTTTAGCTCTAATGTTTTATATTTTGTTTCAGACATACAGTGTGATCCTGCAACTGTTTTGCAGCATATGAAATGTCCCAAACACTATTTTAGCTGTCTAAAATGGGCAAAAAAATGTTGTTTTAACTAATAGTCAAAACATGTTCAAATAAATGTGTGTAATGTATGTGTTATTATTGCATTAAAAAACAGTCAGGAAAAAACGGCTGTGTTCAAGGCAGAAATAAAGAGTTTTTCATTCTATTACACAAAGGTGACTTTACTGTGTTTTATGTAAATTGGGACCACGAGTCCACATATATGGACATAATTTTTCTCTAAAAATACATCATGTCAAAATATGATACTTAGGTTTTATTCTAATTAGGTTGCAATAAGCATGTGAAAATGCATGTAAATAAACAGCTTGGGCCTTAAAAAGCCCATATTATGGGTTTTTGAAAATTCCCCTCCATGTAGTGTGTAACACAGCTCTAAGTGAAGTGAAGTATCCAGCTAAGGCTTAAATCTGTTAGTGTACAGTGTTTAAAACGGTTGATTCATTTATAAAAGAGTCGACTCATAGTGCTTCAAACGAGTCGCCTTGATACCGATTCATTAGGTGTTTCGCCATGACGTACGAACGAAACCAAGTTATTCACGTGCACGCGCAAACCCGGGAGATTTCAAACCTGAGGCCCCGCCCTCTGACGCAGAAACCCAGACACACACACACCCACAAACACACGCACACACACACACAAACATGCCGGTCAATTGAAGTCACACTGCAGATGGATATTATATTGAGTCTCTACCCAAAGATGAAACCTCAGCATTATAACCAAGCAGTTGGAAACTACTGGAAACTTCTGGAAACTACATGCTACAAAGATTACTTCATCAGCGTTTGTTAAAGGAGGGATCAGTAAAGAGTAACTTACTGCTGGACGTCAGGATGGATTTTTCTTCCTCCATTTCTCAAGTGTAAGTACGTGCGATTAAAGTTGACTCTAGCTTGCAAATGTATTTAGTTGTGATTTGTTACTTGTAACCGCGTGTACTGTATCAGGTTAACTGGCTATATTCTCTTATCGCGTGCAAAGTCACGTTAAAAACGCGACGCGTGCTGCTTTGTTAACGGAGCTCCGTGGACGAGGAGTAGTGTGTGTGTCTGTGTGTGCGTGTGCGCGTGCTGTCATCCGGAGGTGTGTGTGTGTGTGTGTGTGTGTGTGTGTGTGTGTGTGTGTGTGTGTGTGTGTGTGTGTGTGTGCGTGCGCGCGCGTGTGTGTGTGTGTGTGTGTGTTGTCGTCCGGAGCAGGGTTAAGTGCGTGTGTGTGTGTGCGCAATATGTGTGTGTGTGTGTGTCTGTGAAAAGAGCAGAGTGAGAAGCTAGGAGATCTCCTCAACTGTTTTTGCTCAATAAAATAGTTAGTCGTCTGAATTTTCAAGTCCATAGTCTGTATTTACATTGACCCACAGGCAGCTAAAATCCACGCCTACACTATCGAGCGTGCATGAACTGTGATTACTTTTATATTGCTGATTAGCTGTTTGGCATTTCACTCTCTGACTGAAGGCAGTCGACCAATCGCAACAGGCTGTCATCGGTCCAATCAGAGCAGATTAGCTTCGCGCTAAGGAGGGGTTTGGGAACAAATGAATCACTGGACGATTCATACAGGAGTCGCTGGGATAATTAGATAAAAATAAATGCAGATTATAAGACCACGAAAGTGTTTTTTTGACCTTGCATGCATATTAAACTGTTGTTGGAGACCCTTACAACCAAGATATGACCCTATTTCATGTATAATATGGGCTCTTTAAGAGGTTAAAGAGGAGTTGTCACCAATGTGTCTGAAATGTAAAACAGAGAAAGAAGACCTTGTTCATTGTTTCTGGCTTTGCAGGCAAATTCAACAGTTCTGTGCCATGATTGAACAAGAAATTTATGGTATTTTATCTATTAATATTGGTTGCGACCCAAAGCATATGCTGTTTGGTTTATACGAAGAGATTAATATGAAATTCATTAAAATAGAAATTAAAAAACACTTTGCAAGTTCCTGATATTTTGTGCAAGAAAATGTATTCTCCTGAACTGGATAACGGGTAAAACTCCTACAAAGTCTTCATGGCACAGGGTAAAACTTGAATATGTACCACTGGACTACTTAACTTGTGTTTTAAACGGCAAAGATGTTTTGTTTCATGAGAGGTGGGATCCATTTTTGTTACATATGGGTTTAAACATAACCTTCATACTCATCAGACGGTTTATTTAATGAGGTCAGATCTTGTGAAGGTTTGTGGTGCATGAATATGCAAGATCTCTTTTAAAATACTTTTTATTTAACTATTATTATTATTATCATCATCATCATCATCAACTTATTTTCTCCGCCCTGTTCTGTTCATTTGTTTGTTGTTGTTGTATCTCTATTGCTTGAAAATTTAAATTTAATAAAAAATAAAAAAAAGCAGTAGTAGTAGTGTGAGGACCATGTTCATAGGATGTACTATAACAAACAAGATGGAAAAATCATTGCAGCACATTGTAATTGCGTAATAAGTTATTGTTTGCTTGGATTTTGCGCAAGTGTAATGTTGTTCGAGGTATCTGTTTTTTAAAATGTAGTGTATAAATATTATTAAAATTACTAATTATACATGTATTAATGCTGTAAAATGATTAACCACATTTAAAGTAAGTTTTGTTTGTTTCACAAATATATCCAAAATTTGTAAATCATGCACTCCATCTGAATTTCACGCCACAGCAATAACGTCATGCACAATTGATCAATAAAAAGTACAATAAAACATAATATATGTAGACTTTGTATGACTTGCGTTCATACTTGTATAATACATTTTTCACAAATCGCTTTTCTTATAAAACAGCTTTTGTTTCTTCACACATCATCTGTAATGATTATCAGAAAAAGATATATGTAAAACATGGCATATAGAATTAACTAAATGACTAACCCAAAATGACTAAATCAACACTAGATGAACTTCTAATTTGAAAAATCGAATAATAACACAAAGTCATCGGCGGAATAGCCTAGTGGTTAGCGCTCTGACATATGGTGCAGTAGCACTTCAAGGCATCCTGAGTTCGAATCCCAGCTCGAGGACATTTCTCGTCCCTACCCTGTCTCTCTTCCACTTTACTTCCTGTCTATAGTACTGTCCTATCTACTTAATAAGGCAAAAAGGCAGAAAAACTATATCTTTAATCAAATTAATAAATAAAACAAAAAGTCAATAGAATAGTTCACCCAAAAATGAAAATTTACTCCCCATTTACTCAATTTCAAATTTTTGGGTGAACTATCTCTTTAAAGTCAATCAAAAGCCCCAAACTGCTTCATTTTCTGAAGTGATAATCATTTCAGGTGTAGTTCCTTGATAGGAATAGGAGCTGTGGCACTGACCATGGGTTTATTGTAGAAGGGGAATCCCTGAAGCTGTCTGAGGGCATTGGTGGCTGCTGAAAGCTCCTTGAAGATCACAAACGCCTGACCCCTCATCCTCATGGTCTTCAGAGCCACGATGTCCATAATCTGGCCGAACTGCGAGAATAAGGCGTACAGTGACCTCTTCAGCTCTGTAGAAACGATTAACACAACATTAGCACCATTTAATTGACCGTGAGAAATGTACTTTGATTAGTTTGATTTGAATAGTTTAATACATTTCCTCATTTAGAAATTGCAAACCATTTTTTTCTGGATTTATATGATGAAGGAGATAATATAAAAGCAACTTTACCCCAATCTTAACTTTAAAACTGATGTGGAGCAATTATTACTGTGAAAAGCCCTTTACTAATTAACTCAAACATACTTCAATGAGCAAAGACAAACAAAAATGTCAAAGCTTTTCCACATATAGACGCAAGTTACAGTACAAACGAAAGACTTTACCTTCTTTCTTGATCTTATCATTAACATTGTTGATGTAGATGGTGTGATTCGGCCGGATGTCCATGATTAATAAACTGAGGTAAAATGTCCCTGCAGTAAACACATAAGAGATCCAGTACAATAAACAACGAGGAACTACAAACACAAAACACTCGCAGTGTCTCCCATTTAAGCCTTCTGAGATGCCTGAAATGACACTGAGTGCAGCTCTATAAAATTATAAACGTGAAACAACTTATTGATAGATTTAAAAATCACAATAAAAGTGAATGAACGGACTCACCACACTTCTGGATTTAAGCGGAAACTGGCGCTTCGCTTCTTCTTCGTTTCCTTTATTGTTGTGAATCGGGTTTCGCTTGTTGCGCCACCTGTTGTCGCGGAGTGATACTAACACTATTGCTAGGACTTTTCGTTGCTAGGTTTAGCAACTTTTCATATACTACCCTAGCAACATTTTTGAATTCAAAAAGCACCTAAGATCAAGTTTATCAATATTTGTGATTGGCCATTTGATTGTTCATTAGCTGAAGTTACCTTGTTGTTAGCGTGTATAACTGTTGTTCATTTAGATAGCATTAACTGCTAATACATTTCCCAGTACTGGGTTGCAGTAAACATTAAAACATATGCAGGATAAAATGTTTTTTAATGCTGAGATGGCCAGTCAAGTTGTGAAAACTCATTATTTTGTATATTATAAAAAGTTGCTTTGAGTTGGGATTATGTAATGATGCTATAATAACACAAAGACGTCATAGCATCAGTTAGCAACAAATTATTCCACCTTTAGCATTTTGTAAAAGGGATGTTTATGCAATGTTTTTTTTTTATTGTATGTAGGCTATGTTCAATATTTCTGGATTGATGTGGAATGTCTATTTAGTGGTGATAGAATGAGGATACAGAAAAGAGATGTTGACAAAAAAGATATAGATAAAAAATATCCTGTTTATGTTGAACTTTTGATAATATTTGGTAAGTTTCATATACACAAGTGTAAATGGACAGAGAGGAAGCCTAAAATCTCTCATTCATTCATTCATTTTCTTTTCGCTTAGTCCCTTTATTATTCTGAGGTTGCCACAGCGGAATGAACCGCCAACTTATCCAGCATGTTTTACACAGCGGATGCCCTTCCAGCTGCAACCCATCACAGGGAAACATTCATACACTCTCATTCACACACATACACTTCGGACAATTTAGCTTATCCAATTCACCTGTACCGCATGTCTTTGGACTTGTGAGGGAACTGGAGCAAGATGTAAATGCCACACAGACTTTCCAACTGACCCAGCCGAGGCTCGAACCAGCGACCTTCTTACTGTGAGGCGATCATACTACCCACTGTGCCACCGTGACGCCCTAATATCTCCATTTTAAGGCTAATTTACACTTAAAGGAACTCTTAAAGGTCTTGCAAGTCGTAAAGCAACCATAACTGTAAATATACTGCAAAAACTAAAGTCCTATGGTAATTGTCATGCTGTATACCCGCTCTTGTCCTTTTGTTACTTTCTTTTCGTTTATTTATTTGTTTAACATATTTTATGCTACAACATGAATATCCTATTTTAAGATTTGAAAAGCATTTGATTGGAAATGTTCAGTAAATATAATGAAAATATTAAGTTAAGAAATCCGCCTTTAGAAATAAAAATGTTTTCATAAACAGAAGTTTGCGAAGTGTATACCAAAATGTAATTTATTTTTAATGGAAATGGAAACTTTGGAAAAGTCTCTAATGCAAATTAATAACAAAAAGAACGACCTGATTTAAGATTTGAGGGAGGATTTTCTTTCTAGGACTAATCCCCCGCTGTAATTGTTGACTGTGTCCCATTGTTTTCATTACTATGTTTTAACCTATTGTATTTATTTCTATTATTAAAATGTTATTTGAATTTCTGGATGTTTTTTTTTTTTATTTATTGTAATGATCTTGAATATATTATTGTCTAAATTTGCATAATAATAAAAAAATTTGCATTTAGCAACTAACTTCCTTTTAAAATTAATTGGTAACAGCCTCCTCACAGCGAAATTGTGTAGGTTGGACTTCACACAGATTTGCAAAGATTTTAATTGATTAATCCCAGTTTTATTGATGATGTATAGACAGTCAACCATATTTACCAAAAAAAACTTTTTAATTACTTCTGAAAATATCAGAAAGGCGACTATAGCTACTGCAATGTGACGAGCAAATAAATGGGATTTTTTCCAACATTAGCCTCAAATATATTTTCTAATCAAACTATCATAATAGTCTTTTATTTACCCCATCGGTGAACATGAACTACAGAGGTTGTGAAATCATCCATACAACTATAATCTGATATTTGTGTTGTGTACTAAAGTGTGCTTATATGGCTGATACTGTATGTACAAATACATTAAGATAAATGTGTTCAAGAAGGTTGCACTGCAGCTTTCAGTCAGACACACACAAGCACAAAATAACATAATAAATAAAATAATAAAGGGGCTGCATGGTGGTGCAGTGGGTCACAGCAACAAGGTCGCTGGTTCTGCTGGGTCAGTTGGCATTTCTTTGTGGAGATTGCATGTTCTCCCTGTGTTCGTGTGGGTTTCCTACGGGTGCTCTGGTTTCCCCCACAAGTCCAAAGACATGCACTTTAGGTGAATTGGGTAGGCTAAATTGTCCGTAGTGTATGTGTGAATGAGAGTGTATGGATGTTTCCCAGTGATAGGTTGCAGCTGGAAGGGTATCTGCGGTGTAAGTTGAAGTTGGTAGTTCATTCTGCTGTGGCGACCTTTGATTAATAAAGAAACTAAGGTGAAAAGAAATGAATAAAATAATAAATGACTAATATTCTGAATAAGACACTATGAAATTCTGTACTTGCTATAGAAATAAGCTGAGACACATTCAAAAAGACCACCCCCATGAAAAAAACACAATTTTATTTACTTTTCGTCCTGAAAATTGTTAAATGGGCACCCAAAAAATGTGAAAATATAATACTTTGTCATGCACAGTTCATCATCTGCAGTGTTGGATAAATCCGACTTGTGTATTTCTCCCCCTGATGGAGTGTGTTTGTGTTCAGAGTGTGTTTATGCTCTTCAGTTTGCGCTCAGTGAAAAACCGGTGTGTGTCTCGTGTGTGTGTGAGCTCAGACGGTTTATTGCGACTAAAATAGGACAACACAGAGGTGTTGTTCTGGCGAGCAGCAGCCTTTTCTCCATCCTCTTCATCATCATCCCTACACACAAACAAACACATTTATTATTACAAACAGACATCAACAATTACTATAATATTGGAAGAGAAAGAAACGCAATATTATTGTATGTATAGCGTAATATTACATACTATGTGGGGTAAAAACCTCTTTGTGTGAGTGACTGCAGCGCCCTCTGCTGTCAGACTTACCAGTGAACAGTTACAGCTTTACTGTCCAGCAGAGTCTGCGCCGTGCTCCAGCTGAAGCGCACAAACTGAGGATAACCAAACACTGGGTCCAGATACTTCAGCAGCCAGCTCTTGGTTTTGGGGTCTAAACACAAAAAGACAACACCTTATTCATTCGTTCAGTTGTTAATTCGTTTGTTTATTTGCAGCACAACTACACTCACCGGCCACTTTATTAGGTACACCTGTCCAACTGCTCATTAACGCAAATTTCTAATCAGCCAATCACATGGCAGCAACTCAATGCATTTAGGCTTGTAGATTTGGTCAAGACAATCTGCTGCAGTTTAATCAGAATGGGGAAAAAAAGTGATTTAAGTGAGTTTAAACATGGCATGGTTGTTGGTGCCAATTGGCTGGCCTGAGTATTTCAGAAACTGCTGATCTACTGGGATTTTCACGCACAACCATCTCTAGGGTTTACAGAGAATGGTCTGAAGAGAAATTATCCAGTGAGCGGCAGTTCTGTGGGAGCAAATGCCTTGTTGATGCCAGAGGTCAGAGGAGAATGGTCAGACTGGTTCCAGCTGACTGAAAGGCAAAAGTAACTCAAATAACTACTTGTTACAACCGAGATATGCAGAAGAGCATCTCTGAAGGCACAACACTCGATTTCTGCTGCGACTTTCGGATGGTAGGGTCAGAATTAGGCATCAACAATATGAAAGCATGGATCCATCCTGCCTTGTATCGACAGTTCAGGCTGGTGGTTGTGGTTTAATGGTGTTTGGGATATTTTCTTGGCACACTTTGGGCCCATTAGTACCAACTGAGCATCGTGTCCACGCCGCAGCCTACCTGAGTATTGTTACCGACCATGTCCAACCTTTTATGACCACAATGTACCCATCTTCTGATGACTACTTTCAGCAGGAAAACGCTTTATGTCATAAAGCACAAATCATCTCAGACTGGTTTCTTGAACATGACAATGAGTTCACTGTACTCAAATGGCCTCCACAGTTACCATATCTCAATCCAATAAAGCACCTTTAGGATGTGGTGGAACAGCAGATTCATATCATGGATGTGCAGCCGACAAATCTGCAGCAACTGCGTAATGCTATCAAGTCAATATGCAGCAAAATCTCTGAGAAATATTTCCAGTGCCTTGTTGAATCTGTGCCATGAAGGATTAAGGCAGATCTGAAGACAAAAGGGGTCCAACCTGGTACTAGTAAGGTGTACCTAAAAAAGTGGCCAGTGAGCGTATTTATAACATTACTGATAATAAAAGTTTAATGCGAACAGAGAAATAGTTTAGCTTATTGCTGTATCAGTTTCCCTAGCTATTTTATGAAGAAAAAAAACATTGAAACACTTCTAAATCTAAAACAATATTTTTATAACAATAAAAAGACACCAACAACAATAAATAAAACATATGATACAATATTTTAGGACTTGCTTTTGATTTTCTTTTAAATCTACCATTTTTTTAAGGATTCACATTTAAAAATATTTATTTTAACATCTCTATGGATGATTTTTTATGTCTGATAACATTACAAAACATGGCATTGCGGTAACACTTTATTTTGATGGTCCATTTGAGTATTAGTAAACTGCTTAATATCTGCTGATACAGACATTCAACAGACATTTAACTGACTGTAAGAAACTCTGCAAGTACATGTCAACTTACACTAACCCTAACTTAAACCTAACAGTCAACTTATAACATAATGAGAATTAGTTGGCATGTAGATGCAATGTAACTTATATTCAACAAACATCAAAATAAAGTGTGACCGGCATTGCAAATGTATATGTTTTTCTCAAAAATAAAAATTTTAAATGCTGAAAATTCTGGATAATGTAAATATATTCAAACAAAAGTTATATATCAGAATGTATCTGCTCTAACTGGTCAAAGAAATGTAAAAATATTTAAAATATTAAATCATCATATGACGGCGTTACTAGCAGAAAGGTGTTCTTTTT